TAGATTTTTTTTTTTTTTACAAAAATGTATTTTATATAAATGTCATTCCCGGGTCTAAGAGCTGTTATAAAAGATATTCCTAGATCTTTTTTGTAAAGTGCCATGAGTGCGTATAGCGGACGAGGCCCGAAAGGTCACAACTGAGTCTATATGTTGCCATTAAATTATAGAAAAGTCAGCTGAATATTTAAAATGTACATCTCAATTATATAATTGATTACATTGTTCAAACCCAAGTAAAACAAAACCTAAAGCGTGTCATTTTGTGCAGAACCTCTAAATTAACTATTATTCCAAATTACGCACATGACAAAGCTATTTTTTAAACGGCTCGACCCTCCAACAGCACCACCCTATGTTGTCCTTAATGCAATGACTATGTAAAAAAACCTATAATGGCTCTATTAATTTTTAAACGTGCACTGTAGGCTATTTTGTTATTAGTCAAACTACAGCTACTTAACACACACCGGCCATTCCTCTTTCGCCTTTAAAATGCCTAAAAGGCGATTAAAACGTTTTTTTTTTTTAATGAGACCGCTTTAATAGAATAAACCAAACTATGAAGAGTTACGAATGTGTCCACCAGGACCCCAAAGGTCCTCAGCGCCGACCGCGGCTGCAGACCGGCAGGGCTCAGTAGCAAGTCAGAAACTCTGCCATAAATATAAACTGTCCTAAAACTCAAGAAGCCGCATAGGAACCCCGTGAGAAGTTCAGTATATTTGTCGATAAAACCGAGTGTTGCCTCAGGGTGAATGTAATTAGTCAAGACACTGAGCCTTTCTTCCCCTTTCTCCTACCTCAGTTTTATATAAAATAGATTTGGGAGAAGCGCCATTTTCTCTCCAAACCATGCGCAATGATACGCACAAGAAAGTCCGTTGGAGGAGTGCCAATAAACAGAAAGGGGGGAGAGAGCGAGCGAGCGCGAGAGAGAGAGAGGAAGGTTAAACACAATCGGGGAAAGGAGAGCAAAGCTGGAGAAAGGTCCTTAAAACCCGACAAATGACAAGCAGCAGCACGACAGACAACACAAACACTGTAACCACACACAGTAGGAACAGACCACAGCGCTACGCCGGAAAAAAGCGACAAAGACGAGCGAACAAAACGGCGATTTTTCATACCTGTGTCAAGCAGTAAGGGGAGTACATGGTTGTGTCTAGAGATGAAAATTGGAGTTGCAGATGATAAAGTTGGATGGAGGTTCGCTGCGGTGCCGCATTGCAAAGCTGCTGTGGCTCAAACCAGGCTGTAACCCCGCCTCACTCGCAGTGAAAGCTCCGCACTAACTTTAGGGGAAAGTTTTTGCTGCTCTCTCTCCCTCCCTCCCTCTCTCCCTCCCTCCCTCCCTCCCTCTTCTCTGTACTCTCTCCCTCTCTCTCGCTGCCCGCTTTCCTGTCAGATCGACACAAACCTAACTGTACGTTTGAAAGGACCACTTTTTAAGGTTATAGGGTCAAAAAGTGTGTGTGTGTGCTAAAACCCTAAAGAAGGATCGCTGGAGATGCAGAGTTTACAATGAGCCAGTTGTGATTTTGGACTATGTAGTATTTCTACGTTGGATCTACAGTATTCCCATTTTGACTAAGAGCTCTGCTAGGGTATTTCTATAAATTCTACTTAAATTTATTACAGCATTTCAGTTTTTTTCAGAGGGAATGTTTCCTATGTGCTTTTCCTCACTTGCAACAAAGCATTTTGTTATGTTACCATGCTTTCACTCACTCTAGTGTTGTTATAACAAACATTATTTCAAATTCAGGAATCTATTTACATATCTATTGCCAGACAAATTTAACAAAAAGTCTGGTCAATGTTTTGTCAAAGTTTGTTACTATTTGTCCCTCACAGATGATAGTTTGTTGCTCAGTGAATTAACTCACTGTACATAAAACATTTTTAATATCTTGTGGTATCAATTGAATATTGCAAAGAGACTCTGTTAGATTGTAATGTCCTACAGCAGTCATGTCCTTTCTTTTTCTTTTTTTTTATATAAAGCAGTCTTAAAAAGCTTTGCCAATGATTATAGAACATACACAAATGATCGAGAGGCCAGATTTCCTCAAAGTGATCTTTTTTTTCAGCTTTCATATCCTTAGCTCTTAAGCTAAAATGCAGAAGTGGACCAGAGTTTGCCCAAAATAGAAACGCAGGTTGGAAATTTACAGCACAGATTTTGCTGTGGTAGTCTGTTAGTCCATCAGCTGGAGGGGGACACAAAGCTTTCCGAATGTGCCTACATGTATCCCTGCGTGCGCGCACATACAGGAAACTAATTCAAGTATCCTAAGTGGACAAACCCCATCTCTTTAAATGAACTATGTGTCAACTTAATTCATGTGTCATAGCTGAATTTGAGGCTGGCCTCTGTCAGCATGTGAAAATTATAGAAGAAAACTTTTAGATAAAAATATAAAACATACAATAAATGAGCATTCAAATATTTTCACTATTTCTGGGGATGTTTTTGAATGTCTGTAGGAAACTAAACAAGTCCAAAGACATATATTTGCTGTCTTTATGTCATTTATTCAGCTATATTACCTTTTGGATTATCATTTTCTCCTTTTTAACCCAGTCCGAGTCATAATCTAGCATATATAGAGACAAAAGACACCTGAACTTGGGCAAAGTGGTCTAAACCAGGCTGTGACTCCTATTGTATGGAAGCAGTACACTCTGTTTCTAATCAGGCTTGGCTTTATCCTCGCCCGCTCCCTGCTCCTCAGCCTAATCAAACTCATATATGCAGGCAGAGTGCCTGCAATTACACATAAGCCCCTGCCTTGTGCATGTGTGTGAGTGAGAGTGTGTGCAATAGCATTGTGAGAGTGTTTGGAAGTGTGTGTGCCTATGTGTGAATACAATTCTGTATGTGCATATGGCTGAGAGTGTGTGTTTGATTTTTACAAAGTGAGCGTGTGTGTGTGTGTGTGTGTGTGTGCACGCACAAGGGTGCGGTTTTGGGGGCTGAAGTCACCCCAGTGCTGGAAAGCCAAGTTTTTCAGAGGGATATGAAGCTGTGCAGCTTTATGAGACCTCAGGCTGTGTAGGATACTTAGACACTAACACCGCAAGTGCACATGCATATAATGTAGAGTATAAGCACATACGTGTAAACACACATATAAACAACACAGCCACAAATGTCTTGTGGTCAGAGATGTGCAGGTGCAAGCAACCAGACTGAGGAAAGATGAGGAAGATAGTAAATAAAAGTGAGAAAACAGTAATGCATATCGAAGGGTAGCCTGTTCCCTTCTCAGAGTCTCTTGTCTTTCCAAACCACACCCCACCATGGCACAGGCCCAAACCCTAAAGTCTATGTGCTCCCTTGCTTTTCCTTATTCCCTTTTTGTTCTCCCCTTTTTTCTATTTCTCATTGGTCTTTTTAATGTACTTTCCTGTTTTTCTATCATATAATCTTCTGCTGTTCCTTTTCTCCTTCTTCCGTCCATTTTGTCTGTCTGCCTTTACTGGTTGTCTTTGTCTCTGACTTCACTCTGGGCCGACATGTCCATCTCAGTATTCAAAACAGGCGCTTGGCTGTAGCAAATATACTATAGCAACCGCAGGAGTTACAAAACACTGGTGCTCAGGTTTTCTTTCCAAACTCCCTCTCTCTCCGCCTGTGATCGCAGTCCAGTCTGACCATCACCTATGAAAGCTGCTCAAGTTTGCAGGGATCTAGTACATTTGTGAGACTACTTTTCCTTATTAAAATGCACATGAGAAAACCATATGGTGTGTCTAAAGTTAGCATGTTCTCATCTCTCATGACACATGGCACTACACATATACTTGCCGTTTTACCATTGCCTGTGGCTAGGCCATTAAATATTGAAAGTGATGTAGCATTTTGACACTGCCATTAGCATGCCAAATGTGTGAGACAGGTGGTTGAGGCTGCTTTTCAAAAAGCAGAAAATATGTGAAAGGAAAATGTGTATAACCGTACTGTTTACTACACTGTACAGTGTCAATATTGTTTGAGTAAGCTGTTTATGTGTGCTCGCCAGTGAAATGCATGCAGGCTTATGCAGTCAGAAAGAAATGGCTGACTGGCCGTTGTGGCGAACAAGGATATCATACACAGTGTGGATCCCAGAGACTCTATGGATCTGTTTGCAATCTGAGTGTGTGTGCAGAGCGATGTGTTATGCCTGCTGCTTTATATGTGTTTACAGTGTGCAGTGGCTGCTCGTACTCTTACAGGGGCTGGTTTGGATTACTGTGTTTTTACCATGTTTGTGTTCAGCGGGGAGAAAATGTACAGATTTATTTTTCTCGCCTGATGTCATCCTTTCTTAATTTGAGTCATAGCAAGTTGGATAACAGCACACCAGCCAAAGGAACCATTTATCCAAGTGTTATCAATAAACTCAACCTGAAAGACAGTGTTATTACAAAAAGTGGCCTCATGCAGTACACATCGTGCACAGAAGAGTGTCCTGCAAAAAGTTTGGTAATGTTTAGAATTTTATTTCAACTGGCTTCTGGTTTCATCCTCCACATGTGTCCAGTCTCTGCGACACAGCCAAACTACTGCCGGGCGTAAATAACAGCTTGTAAAAATACATGTCACAGAAAAGCTGACACTGTGAGGAAACACAGTGTTTTTGCAGGGCGCTGTTGGCCACACGTCAGCATAGTCGACAGATGTGTTCAGGACGTCCATGATGACATGTGGGTTGATTTCACAGGAAATGGATATATGAGCATGCAAACGGTAGAATGTCAACACTCAGAACTGCAGATGTATTTCCAGGACACGTTAACCCCACCACTTCCAATTCAAGCTCTGAAGAATGAAGATAATGAAGTCTGATTTTGCAGCACATGCTGCTGCTGAGCCTTTTGTACTGATCTGAACCACAAAAGAAAAAACGAGCTTACTTGTAACGGATCAGGCTTGTTGGAGTGTCCAGGAAATAAATCAATACAATCACAAGGACAGACAAAGATCTTGTAGTGTGTGTGCTTGTGTATACCCTATATGTATCAGACACGAGGAAACACTCGGGCATCCCTGGGCCTCTGGCAGGATCGTCGTTCACCAGATAGGTGTCAGTAGCCTAAAACACAGAGAGACAATTGTTTATTTGAATTTTAACCAAACACTGAATGTGCAGTAGTATTGGCAACACTTTTAGCAAGCAGATCTCAATCACGTTTGGCAGCAAGTCATCAGGAATTCTAGCATTTTCCAATTTAGTGGCTGGTTGAACCTGTTACAGTGAGGCTCTGGTAAGTAAGAAATAAACTTGGAATGAGTTTGGGAACCAGACTAGTTTATATTACAACATCTTTGAATTTCTTTGCTTATTTATAAAAGCCAGTGCAATTTCAGATAAAATCTGGACAGACATTTGTGACCCATCATCTCTGGAAATCACCCTGGATTTTTTTGCTTCCTCTTTGTGAGACAATACTAAAATTTACCTGTGCTGTGCGAGTCTTATCACCCGTATACTGGTTTCATTTCTCCACAGAAAACACAGCACCTGTTAACAGCTCTTGCACTATATGTCCCCAGTCACACTGTATGTAAGTACCAGCATGTATGCATGCATGTATGTGTGTGTAAGTGTTCATTCACGGAGCTTCATTTGTATTCTAAGTCAAGCAGGCAGGCAGGCAGGGTTCTGGCAGGGCCTGGAGCTGTGAAATGGGCTCTCCCCGCAGTTCTGCCGTTGATTGGATCAACCTATCCCACTCTACTTAGCCGAAGGGAGCCAAAATCCCGCAGCCACAGCGCCGTTCTGTGAAATCCTATTTCATTTCACAACTTTAACGGATAAAAAAGCGTGCACACACGCTCATGCCAGCCCGAAACCCTGTGCCACATTTATTTAGCTGAACAGGAGCAGAGAGAACACAGTGTATCTGGTTTGTAGAAACACTGCAATGTATACATACAGTCTCACCCTCTTGCAAATGTAGTCACCTGCACATATTTACATTTTTCCATGCCCGTGCACTCTACCTTGCACATGGCAAAGCAAACGCACACACCAATGTGCACGTGCATGCCACTCACACAGACAGAAACCCCATAATAAGAGCCAGACGTTGGCAGACCACACAGCCCAGAGTTGTGGTGAAAACAAAGGCTATTCATATCCTTCGCAATGAGAGGTCTGTGCAGCTAACTCTCGTTCTCCCTCTCTCCCCTCAGCTTTTTGTTACAGATAATCTGCAGCCGCAAACCTTCCATTTTTCTGCAATTGTGCGCTGTCTAATCACCTTTATTAGTGCATAAACATGTTTTTTCTTTTAATTTTTAGTCCCTTTTTACTGCAGAGGCTCCTTAAGGGGCAACACAGTGCCAATTGTTAAGTCTCAAGAAGAGGATGAAGCCAGGAGTGGAGTGAGAGAGGCCTGCTGATAAGACAGCAAAGCATTGTGGGAATATGGTAGAAGACTTCATGAGAAGCACACATACACATACATGCTGATGCAAACACACAAACACACACACACACAAGACAAAATGCAAACACTCCAAGCCTGCCAGGCCACATGTGTCTGATAACAAGACGATGCATTTGATTGGCCGGCACTCAGAATAATGGCCAGGATCCACAGCACCTGTGTGGGGGTCCGCACCAGTGTGAGCCTGCCGACTCCCAGCAAACAGATCGCAGTGCATCAGGTGTGCTGGAACCTCTGTGATTGGCTGTGGCAGGCCAGAAACAGGGTCAGGTGCACCAGCAAGCGTCCTCTGATTGGTTGAGCCAGACCCAAAAAGCTGCGGGTGGTGATAAAGCTGTTTTCATTGGCTTCCACTGTGTCGTTGTGCTGGTGAATGAGTGTCTGAGTGGATGGCACCGGGACGACTGGTTCAACTGGGAATGTGTGATGAAATATAGTGACTATTTGAAAATACTTTTGTACATATATATCCCTTCTTATACAGAATCTCAATATCACCTGTACTGTAACTTGAGCTGAAGACCTCTTTGAAACAACACAAAAAGCAACTGTGCTCCAACAATCCACCATTTGCTCTCATTTCATGTTAACCAACCGACAAAGAGGAATTTAAATGTCCTCTTTATGTTGCCAGGCAAAGAAACAGGTGTTGGTGAACCTCAATCCTAGTGTGCAACAGTGAATAACATGAAGCTAATGAATAGGTTAAGCTGTGTACCTGCCACCGGGGAGGCCAGAGCATACTGACTCTCTTTGTAGTAAACCCCCCAGAACTCCAGGCCCCCAAACACTCTCCTGCAGCAGTGTATGAATTATATATTGTACTATATATATAGAACATATGCCTGGCCCATATGGCCAGCCCTGAGCAAAAAAAATCTCAAAGCCCTTCTTAATTAACATTTTAGAGGGAAGATTTGGAGGCGGGAGACTGAGTCAGTGACCTATTTGGAGTCCATCATCGCCCAATGCAAATGTGTTAATTGAGACAGATTTTCCCACTCCACAAATATGTGGAGTAGCGAATGCGATGGAAGATTTTTTTTTTTTTTTGTCGGAGCCATCTGATCTAAGGTAGGGGTATAGGATCTGTTTTCAACTGCCTTTTCCACTGCTTCCACTGACAAAAGAAGACACGTCTCTTTCACTCTCTCCCTCTCTATCACACACAGCCTTTCCTTGGCTCACTCTCTATCTCTCTCTCTCTCTACTCTGGGTATATGTGTGGACGACCATATGGCCAAATTCTTTGGAGGTGAGATCTCCAAAACCTGCTCACACACTCGCAAACACACACACACACACACACACACACACACACCTCCACACAGAGCTTTGTGTATGAAAGCCCCTGATGGTGGAATTTGTTTTCAGATGGCTCCATTTTAAAGCACATGAATGGCAACATTTCAATGATCCTCCTCTCTATCTCGCAGTCTCTCTCCACAGCTCACGTTAGCAGCTACACACAGACATGCACACTAACGCACAACCTACACAGGAAAACTTGCGCTGCTCACACACCTGGTGCAGTGTTCTTCTTGCTTCCAGAAGCCATTTAACTCTGGCTGCTGCACAATCATCAACCACAACAACTACCACCACTGTCAGTCCATCTTTTAAACACTATAATTATTATCACCAGCATTGTGTCTTAAACTTGTTTTTTATCCTCATGATTTGGTGGCTGAAAATAACCCTGCCAAGTTTAAGGCACAGGATGGGGGGGGTTTTGGGGAGAGAGAAAGAGAGAGTGTAGCCAATCTGCGTGAGATGGCAACCACTTCAAAGACAACCGGCCGCACCGGCGATCTGTTCCACGGTGTGTGAGGGGTATATGAAAGGCAGAAACGGCCGCTGTGTGAGTCCCTGCCAAAGTTACCTCGGGGAGAAATGTTGGAAAATACAATTTTTCCACACAGGACAACGGAGAATAAGAAAGAAGAAGAGAAACCGGAGGGCTGCATTAAAAAAAGAAGGATAGATGGATGATTAAGTAGAGTACGGGTAATTATTTCACTCAAATTAAATAATTAATTAAAGGTCCTGAAGTACAGCCAAAATGTTCTGCTGAAGATTGCATTGGGCTTAGTTGTGCAGTTGTGTTTTACACAAAAGGTAGGATTGTGGGTAAAGCACATGGTGTGAACAGTTTCTGTACGGGAGGGCTGACTACAGCAGATGGGAGTTTAAAATAGTCTCAGATGACCTAAACAAAAACATGTGACTTACGCTGGAAATTTAACTGTGTTTATTATGTGTGTGGCTTAAACCTAAGGTGCTTATATGCAAATCATCTGGGTGAGGTCAGACTTTTTAATGCACGAGTAATAAACCTGAAATGTTGCCAGCACAAACAGTAACCTTCCAGACTCAGTGTCAAAAAAAAATATTTAATCTTTTCATCAGAAGTGTTACAGTGAAACAAGTGTGAACAGAGCTCACATTGTGACACACCCCAAGATTTTCTTGGCCTGGCACCTTGCCTGTCAACTACCGATCCTGCTCGACAGGCTCAGCTTTGGACTGTGGCCTTTAGATAAAACTATGCCAACTGTAACACTGAACTTTCCAGGCTGCAAAATTTCACTGCCACACTGCTTTGCACCATATGCAGCCTCCACATGCACTAGGTAACCCAATGCCACTGGCATCCCTTTTCCTACATGGATCCTTATTCAGTATCTTCTAATGACCAAACCACACTCAGTTAAGGCTTAGCCACAATGGCTAAGTGCATTTAACAATGAGGTTTGGGCTGGTACAATCAGACCTTTGTGTCACACAAGGCCTGATCCATGGGGAGATTTTCTTGCGGTTATGGTTCTAATACAGCAGAGTTTTACCACAAAGACCAGGAAGTATACAGTTACAAAACACACACACACACACACACACACACACACACACATACACACACTCGGTGACTCAGCTGAGCTCTTTTCAAATGTCTCACCCACTTCCAAGTCAATTGCAATGATACTCTGAAAATTAACTTAATAATATGGTAAAGTTCACGCCCACCTTCCAGTTTGGCACCAATAAGAGCCTTGGCTTTTACGTGACTGACAGGTTCTGTGGTTGGCAGGTTTTCTCTGCAACAACCACAGTGCAACCAACTGTGAAATTATAGGCCCACAATCAAAACAAAATGAGGATCTTAATATCTCTGCCAATTATGAGGCATTGTCTAATGGTGCATCTACCTGAAGAAGTAGAGACAGATAATTGGAAGGCTGACGCCACATGTGACCTGCAATATGACATTTTGAGCTGCTCCAGACCCGTCTGTGTCGTTGTGCGGGGTTAAATGGGTATCACATCTGCTGGGGCCAACAAACATTTTTGGCAGGTGACTCTATAATAAAGTTATGTAACACACTAACATGTCAAACATATTAGAATATGTATTCGCATCCTGCTGATGTGCCGGAGAGCGTGACACTCATCTGGGAGACAAACATCCAGCTGTAAGGTTGGTTCTAAATGAATGCAGGCGGACTGAACTGAATTTGAAATAAATCCTCAGGATGACACTTATAACACCTCTGGCAAAACAAAAAAACATACTCCCTTGTGTATCTTGTGTAATATTTTCGAACATTATAATGAATACACTGTGGTTAAAAATCCCGGTGCCAGGAGATTTCAGTTACATTTTATCAACTATTGCACATATTTTGTTTCAGGGCTTTGCTATGTGCTTTGGATCTTAATGTTTATTGGTTTTAGTGATGTGTGACTGTGCTCCATGCCAATGCCACACAGTGTTTCAGCCTGTATAAACTGTTTTATCACAATGAGAAGTCTGTACAGCTGAGTCTGGACCTCGGGCTCGCCAGGGGGCTTTTTTCTGCTGTTTTTGTGTAATAACATTATTATATTCAGTGAACCTTCATGTCAGTTGTATTTAAAGAGCTATATTATTGGCGCAAAAGGAATATTGTGTTACTAGTAAAATGTGAATGCTTTCTGATCATGTGTGTACTCTATCTTCTCTTCTAAGGAAGACTAAGTCTGTGCACTGTGACCTTAAGAAACAAGCCAACCATGTCAGATCTGTCACATTACAAAACACATACAGCCAAATTACAGCACGTCTACTGTAACCTCTTGGCTCCACATTAAAAGAAAAAGAATTATGTAGGTCACACTTTAAAGGCATTCTGAAAGGCAGCTAAATTTTGACCAACAACTGGGAAGTGCGGGACTGTTTAATGTCAAACAATCAGTAGAAAGGACGGTAGTTTTGTATAACAGTTTTGTAAATGTGAGATTACAATAAAATATAATATATCGCCAGGGTTCATAACGATGTATAGTTCATCCTCATCCCAGGAGAGATTTTGATTTTCAGATCAGTAGACTATTAAATTCTTCGAAGGTGCTCTTGCTGCTTCAACTATACAGACTCAGCACTTGTTCCAGGGGCACAAAGACGGTCTCTCACCTCTCTTCTCCACCCCCTTTGTAGTCGCTATAAAGTGTCATCAGCTACGCAAATGAAGTGCCCATTGATAAAAACAGCAGTGGCCCTCACAAAGCACGGGGTGCAAGGTGGAGGACGGTGGTGCAGCACCGCGCAACATGGACTTACAGGAATGACAGTAAAGTATAAATACAGTATGGCCTCTCTATGCAGTGGCCTTTCAGGTGGCTTCAGTCTGTGGCCGGTGGAGGTTTTGATCAGTTTGGTCAGAGCAGCGCAGCAGTATCAGCCTGCACTTTGTCAATCGGTGTCTAAAAACCCACTCCAACGTTTCTGCAAACAGTCCAGCCTGCACACTGTTAACCCATCCAACAGAGTAACTAGATTAAATTTAGAAGACGATTTCTTATCTGTGTTATGTCAGAAACATCATTATTACAGCGTTAGCCTCCGAGGAAGCTTTTAGGACGTTACATGCAAGGAATACCAAGAAAAGTACAGCTCACTAAAAATTCAAGTCAGTCACTTTAGGAATTCAGATGCATTAAAACACATTATTGGATGCAAATGTGGAGAAATCAGCGTATTAATATTCCCCAAAATTTGATTAATGAGACCGATTTAAGATTATTTCTAATTATCACATCTGGCAAAAAAGGTGATCATATAACACGCATATCTCTCTCTCTCGCTCTCTCTCTCTGTCTCACACACGCACACACACACACACACACACACAAACACACAGGCATGTTGTATCGTCATCTTTGGCCTCACACAGTCAAATCTGTACCTCTGCGAGAGTCCAGCAAAACTTATGATCTTTTACAAAAGAAAACAGCGTTTAAAAAGGAAGCTGCAGGGATTCGGTTACTAACATGAGTCTATGTTTAGTTTATTTTCAGTCCTATAGACTTTACCCTATAGAGTGAACAGAGGGGGGCTATTGAGTTACACAGCACGTACCATTATAGCGTGGGGAGATCTGCCAACCCTCTCAGTGCCCCATTTTCCTTTAAAAGTTCAGCTTCCAAAAAAAAAAGTGAGAGAGAGAGGAGAGTGAGGGCTAAGGGAGGAAGACTTGGTCTCTTCGCTGTTGCCGGAAGCAAAAAAAAAAAGACCTTTAAACAACTCGGCCTTAGGGCCAGATAGAAAAAAAAACTCTCTTTCAAAAGTGAGTCCACTCTGCAAGAGATAGCAGGGACAGAGGACAGCAGCTCCGAGCCCTCCGTCTACCGCTGTTTGGCCTCAGATGCGCCCATGTCCAGCAGCAAGAAGTCAGCGAGAAGTCTGCGTCAAAGTCCTTCAGCGGCAAAATTTGCCCAGCAGATTGGGAGACGTTAAAAAATTCTCCCCGAAATAATACATATCACGATAAAATGAATGCACGGGAGAGGTGATGAAAAGTAAGTTTTGTTTATGTTATTTTTCTGTGTGAAGCCGCTGCATTCGAGCCGCTTCTGTCTCCAGAACGTGTCCAAAATCGGTTGTCTTCTCCGCCGTGCGACCGATCTGTTTTACCCGTACCTCTCTCTCTCCTTTCTCTTGTTCCAAACACACACGCGCACACACGGCGTTAACACACAAACGGGGGACACCCCTGTTCCCTCGCCGCCGCCTCCTCCTCAAAGCTTATGAGATGAAAGAGCAGCTTGCGTTTTGCGTCTTGAAATCGCTACAGCCACGTCGATAGCCGAATGTCTGCGACAGCGTCACGTCGCGGCTCCGGGCTTCAGCGGGTGCCGCGGTGCGTAAAATGGAAGCTGTCCGTGCGCTCCGACAGCGATGACAGATAGCCTAAACTCCCCTTCCCAAAAATATCAGCTACAGAATGGCTCACCTCAGCAGCATGTGCACTGTTTACACAGACAGTCACACATATACAAACATACACACAATAGGCGAGGAATTAGGGCAGTTGTTAACAGTGAAGGTGGGGGCCGCTGCTTCAGCCAGGCAGCGTGGAACTGGTGAATTATTAGGTGAATTATTAATAAAGCAAGCGGTGTGCAGTCTGTCGCGGAGCGAGCGTAGCGGCCAGGGGAGCAGCTGGGGCTTTAGGAGCATTGGGAGGACCACGAACGGTGGGGATAAGGGCTACACTGGCTCCTACCTACCGCCTGCACAGTGGGCACGACCCGAACTGCTTCGGTTCGGTTTCCGTAGCTGTCCGTGTTAAAGGCTGGTGCAATGATCAAACAACAAAAAGGTCAATAAGTTCATTAAAGTATAGTCACTTAAGTGGACTCGGCGTTTCCCTGCTGTTGATCACATTCAACAAAGTGTACAAAGTCTGTTAGTCATCAGTCAGTGAACTCCGAGACATGTAGTTCATATGAGCAGGTTCTGGGAGTTCGCGAGGGCAGGGCTTATACCGTATTTTGGACTTAGTGGAGTTATGACACACACAAAAGGATAAATGTATTCTGTGAATAATGATGGCTGTTGTAAGACTTTTGTAAACTTGAACTTCCTCGCACAGATTTACTGTGACAGCGTCTCAGCAGAATGACGCGGTGAAGCAACAGGATTAAATGTGACAGGGACATTACAGATTACAGACATACTGTAAGCCAAGAAAGATCTGACTTTGGGAAAAGAACTCCAGAATACAAGGCTAAGTTTTTCCTTTAGAGGGTGTTCATTGTTTGGTGGACCAGAGGCCTGAAGCAGCAGCAGCAGCCAGGATCCAACACATTCGTCCAAGAAAACAGAAAGACAAGAGTCACACACATGTGGACATGCTCTCTGCTGGGGACATCAGTGGGGTTTCACATTTTAAACGTGAGTGATTTACGTAGGCCTACACTGTCCTGAAATGAAGAAGCAGTTTCTATATAAATTAATTTGGCTATCAGGACTTGTAGAGACAACATGGTGCCCCAAAATGACAATTAAAAATATATATATATGTTGAATTAAGAAACAAAAAGCCACTGAATATGCCCGCGGAGCTCTTGGCACTGCGTAATCACATGTAAAGAAAATCCTCCTCGTTTTGTTTCTTGTCCCGTTCATACTTAAATTCTCAAATTTCAGGCTTTGTTAAACAAATATAAACTGTTCGTTTAAATAAAGACAACAAAATAAATCTGTTTTGCTTGTTACTACAAATGAGCGTAACTGCCGCTTCTTAGATCTGGATCAGCACTGAGTTTACTTTGGTGTGTAAAATCTAACGGTGTTGTTATCCGTCTTTTTAAAATCAGACATTGACATTCCTCCAACATAACGGCTTATCAATAATTAAATGCTGACCTCCCCACACATTTGGTCACATCAATTATTCATCTGTAATTGAATTTGGTTTTTGTTTCAACCTAGTTTGGATGAATCACTTTAACACTAAAGTGAGTCTTTTTTTAAGGTTTTAATCTGAAGGAGGCCCAATGACTCCATAACAGAAGATTTAAAAAAAATTTTACCTTTGGGGTTTTTTCTGCGTTTTAATGTCGTTTGCCATTAAAGTCAAGACTCTTTAATAAATTTAAAAAAAAAATCGATTTTGTTCATTATAGCAAAAAGACAAATGACGTCCCAACTGTGCTTTTTCAGTAGATCAGCCTGATTGTACAGACTTTGACCTGCCTATGAACAGTTACAGGCCACGTTTTGCTCTAAAGAGAGACATTTTGTTCTATATTTTGATCTTATTTTGAAAATATTTTTTTCTATAGTGGCTTTATTAATTTGAAAAAAAGTGACTATATAAATGTCCACATGCTCAAATGTAAAGTTTGTATGTCTTTTTGTCATACAGATGAACACAAACATATTTTCTAAGCTTTGGGAAAACAAAACCTATTTGTAGGAGAAACACTGGACATTAGCTGGGACATGAGTGTCGCAGCAACAAGTTGACAATAGGCTGACGTGATTTAATCAAAAGATAACAACAGTACAATCATGACAATATTAAAAACAACAACAACAACAACAAAAATTCTAATAACGGTCAAATACAGTCAAATTCATAATTCTACACGACTTGATGATTAATGGGTTGAATGACATATTTGCCTTAATCAGCACAATAACTGTCAGAGTTTTTGTCATGACCTTGCTGAATTGGTTTTTCCATAGTTCAAATATTAATTCCGGTGTATTTTTATAGATGCTGCCGACCAGGAGCCTCTCACATTGAATGACCAGTGGATTGGAAAAACACCAGAAACTGCCTCTAAACACCAAATAATGCCACGACACGATGCTTCCCCCCCTAGTCCTTAATGAATTAGCAGAGAACAGTTTGCGCTAAGCCGCAGCAGGTCACGCAGGTTTTCTACAAGTCTCAGGTAATGAAACATTTTTCAAACAATTCAACAAAATCGAGAAAAAAACCCCTCTTTGTTTTATAGTTGTTCAGTGTACAGTTGAGAAGAGCCTTATTAACATGACAATCAGACGGTGTTTGTTTGACAAACAACTCGCCACTAATCAAACGTGCACTGCGCAGCTTTTTCAAGCAAAGCGCGGTTTTCAAACGCAGCAAACATGTTTTTAAAAATCTAAAAAGTGAAGAAAGGTTATGGTGCCCCTTTCGAGTGCACTGCCTGCAGGACACATGCGTAATGAACCTGTGTTAGGAAAACCAAAAGGAAAGTTGTCTAATCTTTAAAGTAGAAAACCTCCCATTACCGAGCTGAGATTACAATTAACTCTGAGGCCTAGACTCTTAAATGTTCAAGTACGGAAGAAAAACTAAAGTTGCTTGATAAACAGCAAAACCATGACCTTCACAAAGCTGTTGGCCAAGTTGTTTTAAATTAATTTGCTCATTAAAAGTCTGTACACTAAGTCGTTAATGTTAGAAAAAGGAATCTCACTTGCATTGAATGGGACCTAAATGATAAAAATAACTGATGCCCCCTCATCCTGAGCCTGATGCACCACATGTCTTTGGCAGTTGACCTCGTTTCAGTTAAGCAATATTCCCCATGTTTTTCTTGAAATACTGTTGATGAAATTGTGAACTGCATGTCTCAATCCATCTTCATCCTTTTAAAACCCACATCCATTCGACTGTTGTATTTTGTAGAGACATGGAAGGCAATAATGAAATAAAATAAAACCTCTATTAATAATATTTAAAAAAAATTAAAGGAGCTACTGACAGAGAAGTTCATGTGTTTTGGTCCTTTTTAATGTTTCTTGGAAGAAAACATAGAACCTTAAATCTAAAAAAAAATAAATTCAGTTGTTCCCAAAGTTAAAAAGACAAACTGTGGGAAATCTGCTGGCACACACCGGCCCTAATCATGTAAGGCAACCTATAGGCTCAACTAGGCCGAGCTCTGGGTTAATGAAAGCCCTGGGCGGTGTGTCTCACCACAGCCCCGTGAACCAGCCATTACTGCAGACCACAATGGCTCTGATACCACGTTGTTTTAAGACCCTGCATTATGTGGGCAATAAGTTCCCTAAACCTCAGTGTGAGAAGAAGAAGGGCACACTGTGGGATCAGGCAGACAAAGTCCAGACAACACTGAAGGACTTTTTCTAAGTCTTAAACGCTTGTCTATATAAACCCCAAAATGAATCAAGGGGATTTTTTTTTTTAACTCCAAATTACAAGTCTGAGATCCCGAGCTGGAATCTAACTGCAAACTCTGACTGGCATGTTGAAACAAATGATCAGAGATGAGATCACACTGGACACCGGAGGTCAGTGGACGGAACTAAGGTAAATTACTGCAGATAAATACTGTAGTCACTTATCAAACATGGACTTGGTAGTAATGCCTTTACAGGTTTAGAGGTGCAAAGGAACAAGGTCAGAAATACAGTTTGCAAATATAAACTTCAAACAACAAGATCGTGCTTTTATTAAAGAAATGAGTAAATGTTGAGATGTAGAATATGGAAGAAAATATCAAGTAATTTCCTGGAAGTACAGTAGCAAGAACAACCTGGCTGTGTGAGCAATTCAGAAATCAGTAACACACCTGCACAGAGAGTGGGAGCACAACATAAAAATTCAAGGCCGTTCCAAAAATTTCAACACCCTAATTTGTGTCTAATTATTATTCTCTATTACGAAATGATGGTGCCAATCAACCGACGCAAAATAACTCAGGGTGAACTAAGGCCAAGATAACAAGCAGAAGAATCTGCTAAATAAACTCAGTGAACTCAGATATTCTATAAGCACAGACATACAAAAACTACTGAGAAGCAAATAAATAGGTGTAAAAAGCCCCCCCATGCCCCCCCCCCTTCCCCTGAAATTAGACTGAAACAGACAACACAAATTAAAAACCAAAACCCTGAGAGCTGCTGCCACTCTTCCTACTAAAGCACTTCACACTGACTCCTGCCTGAAGCAGCCTGCTCTCCAGTCAGGGAAAATGAAATACTCTGCTGGCCTTATACAAAATATACACCATACTAAGACCATATATCAAACTCAGAGGGGCTATTTTTTTTCCTCTTCACATTCTTCATCCCTCTCCGCATTGAGAGAAATGACCCGGAGAATTCCCCGTCTCCAAACTAGAAGTGCAATAAGCAGTGG